CAGGGGGCATCCTCTACACACGCATAGGGACATTTGAAAAGTGGCTTTCAGTGTGGAGCTCCGGGAAGACTGGGTGCCGCCCTTGTGGAGAAGGACTTGGGATTCGGGACCCCCCCCCACCTCTCGATTGGTAAACTTTAGAACTGGACACAGAGATAAAGATTCCCACCCCCATCCCGCATGGAAACGTGGAAGAGGGGCAGGCCGGCTTGCTGATGGCCGGCTTTAGAAGTCAAGAGGTAACGCCACCTCCCTCGACATGCGCCTCCTGTCTTCTTTTTTAAGGACGTGAGAAGCTGGTGACATTATCAGAGGCGGCTTCAAAAACTGACATTTCAGTGGGGGAAAGGGGGTTAATCACAGTGTGTTTGCGAAGGGCAACCCCCCACCCCCAAGCTTTGTACTTCCACCTTTCATTCTTTCTCTTGTTACTTTCTTCTGGCGGATTCCTCAGTGTCATTTTGCTATTCTGTTTCATGGTCTTTGTCTCCCAGGGTTTCGTTCACTGATGCTCTTAAGGGGCCACCAAAGAGAACTGGATTGGTTTTGGCCTGTGGGAATCATTTCCCCCTCCTTGGTAAATGGGGTGTTGGGAAGGGAAATGTGTGTAGCAATCCTGTAGCAGTCCGTTCAGATGGGTTCGCCTCTCTTTGCCTTGACTTTGAAAACACAGGAGAAAGAAGTGTGTCTGGTGCCCATATGTGGGGCACCTTTGGGGACTTGGGCAGAGCTGGGATCTCCTTGACCACACGAGGGAAAGGGGAATTTCACAGATTAGGAATTTAGGACTAGTAGGGATGCGAAGCTCTGTAGGACCCCAGGCCCCTAGGTAAGCTGGAGGTACCTGGGCCTACCCTGGAAAGTGTTCTGGGAAGCTGGCTGTGGTGGCGCCGGCTTCCCTGTGGGCACAACACTTGGTAATCTGAAGTAGGAGGACTGAAAGCTAGAGTAAAGCTTGGGTGATGTGGGCAGAGCCTGCCGCAGTCGCCAAGACAAAGTTCTGGGTGGCTTGGGTTGTGAACTTGACAAAAACATTTTTATTATTTATTTATTTTTGTTTTTTTAAGGCAGAGTTTCTCTATGTAGCCTCGACTATCCTGGAACTCACTATGTGGACCAGGCTGGCTTCAAACTCACAAGAGATCCTCCTGCCTTTGCCTCCCTAGTGCTGGGATTAAAGACAAGCACCACAATCACCCAGATAAAAACATTTTTATTTATACAATTTATTATATTTACATAATTGTTAGATCCCACATAATCCCTTACACCCAATTTTATTCTTAGAAGCTCATCTTATTCCAGGGGAATCTTTACAGTTTGTGTTCTTTTGCTGTAATTATCTAAGTTGCCTGGGGGCTCAGCGTGGATGAGGATATGGGTTCTGTTCCCAGCAGTGAAATAAGATGATCATGAACTAGGGATATTGCTTAAGTAGAACATTTACCTAGTAAGTTTGAGGCCTTGGGTTAGATTCCCAGTACCACCAAAGCCCCCAAAAGCAGTCCTAAAGTGCCAGGTGTGATGGTGCAGGCCTGAATACCGGCATTTAGGATACTGAAGCAGGGGAAATTCAGTGTCGTGCGCCCCCCCTCCCAGGGTTTCTCTGTGTAGCTTTGTAGACCAGGCTGGCCTTGAACTCACAGAGATCCATCTGCCTCTGCCTCCCGAGTGCTGGGATTAAAGGTGTGCGCCAACACCGCCCAGCCACCCCATTTTTATTACATATAATTATCTATTTGTGTTTGTGTAGGGGTATCTCATGTCACAGTGAGAATGTGGAGATCAGAGGATAACATTCCAGAGTTGGTTCTCTTTCCACCATATGGGTCCTGGGAATCAAACCAATCTCATGAGATTTGGTAGCAAAGTACCATTACCCACTGAGCCAGTTTTGAGACAATCTTGTGTTTTCCAAGCTAGTCTTCAACTTACTTTGTAATCCACAGTGGCCTTGAACATTGTGTTACTTCCACTTCCTTTCTGCTGGAATTATAGACTTGAACCACCATTCCTAACTTTGGGGCGTGGTTAAACATGGGTTCTGAAGACAGGCCAAAGCTGAGTGTGTAGATTTCCAATGGTCTTTGTAACAAATGATAAGTTTGGTGGATTAGAGCAGTTGGGATATACTCTCTCACTTCCTGGCCACACTCTGAAATCAAGGTGTCTGCAAGGTCACTCTCACTCTGGAGTGGAAGGAAGAAGATTCTCCCTCTTGCAGATTCTAGTGGCTCCAGGAACTCCTTGGCTTTCTGTAGCCAAACTCTAATCACCCCTCACTTCCTGTGGCTTCTCATTTGCCTCTGTGCACTTGTTTCCTACTTTTGTTTTGAGATGGTCTCATGTAGCGCCTTCTTGGGGCCCCAATGCTTTGGTCAAGCCCTAAGACACTGACCTGTTCATTATGAGGCTGTATGCTTTCAGCCAAGCTGTGTTTCCAGACCCTAGGGTCTGAATTTGTACACAGGCTGTAAGGAGGGTTTATCAGAATACCAGAAGGAATTTTTTTTTTTTTTTTTTTTTTTTTTTTTTAACGATTTTGGAGACAGGATTTCTCCTGGAACTTTCTTTGTAAACCAGGCTGGCCTCAAAGGCGGATCGAAGAGATCCGCCTGCCTCTG